CTTTCGGCTGATGTCCAACAAAGGCAACTGTAAAGTTCTGCTGAACCGAAAAGTGGATCAAAACCCCTCGAAGACGAATCCGATCCAAACCAAACCAAAGATGTTCAATAGATCTGCTTTGGGCGACACCAAATCAAAAATTTCAGGCTGATCCGATGTCTCTATAGAGAGATATAAAAAAAAGATTGAACCCAGTGGCGCAACAGTCCGAAAAACAGATCTGTAGAGTTCAGATCTATAGCCGATCCAAGAAGAGAAGAAAAGATGATACTTAAGAACTTCCAAATACTGTTATGGAGTTCTTGAATCAGTAGTAGCCGAGGTGTTGAGTGAAGTTCAGGTCGTGACCTGCTCTGATACCATGTTAGAGTCAATTCGAAAGTCAGAGAAAGAGAGAGACAGACAGAGAGAGAACAGCCGAATGGTGGGTGTGACACCTTGTGTCAGTTGGCACCCTAAAAGATATATTTATATTAAGTTGTAAAAGGACAAATCTGCTCTTAATGTACAAGAGAGAGATAATACAAAGAATAGATATACAGCAAAGAAAAGTAAAAGTACAAAAATAGCCCTATGGCTAGATTTCAGTCTCTACAGGTTTTTCTCTCCAGATTGAAGGGCTCTCTCAAGCTCATTTTAACCTTACACTCAGTTTCTAGTTTGGAGTTTTTCTGAGGGCTGTTTTGATCAGCACAAGGTACCTCCTTGTTCTTGGAAAAGACATCTGATATGTTGGTAAATGACAATTTTCTCTCAATCGGCTGATTCAATCGACCTATAACCCTATATCTGATGTCATCCATTGGTTCTCTTGCTTCCCATTTAATTGTTTCAGACTTTAGATTGATAGTTGAGAGTTTTTAGATTCGACAGTCCTAAAACTTTCCTTTTTTGGACTGTCAACTTTGAGTTCTCGATTTCTGAAGTTGTTTGTGGTATTTTGTGGAGTCTCTTGACTTCCTCTAGTACTGGAATTCTTTTCTATCCCCCTGGACTAGAGTGGATTGTTGCTACATTTGGTTTTCTCTGATATTGTTGTGATTGGACTATTGTTTCTTTGCTGAAATGGCCTTTGATAGAGTTGATATTATTCTTGTGAAATTCGATGGATCAACTTATCGGATTGACACTATTGTTGTAGCACATTGAAGTAAGAAATCTTCTATTGGTGGTGATTCTCCGGCATCTATGATTGTGTTCTCCAGTTATTGGTAACATCTGCTATTTCTTCTGCCTTTTCTGCTATTGGCTTATCTGGTGAGTTCTCCAGTTATTGTTCTTTTCCTTCTCATGTTTGGATCATTGACTCTAGATCTACTAGCCATATGACAGGATCCTACCCTAACCAACCAAGTAACCTTCTTGAAACCCATCACAAACATATTGTTATTGCCAATGGTGAAAAGTTAAACATCATTGGTTGCAGTCTGTATCTTAAGCTTTCAGCCATTGTGTCATTCCCTCTTACCAAGACCTTTCTTGTTCCTAATCTCAATAATCTGATTTCTGTTGTCCAATTAGTTGACGAAGGTAACATTCTCACATTTTCTCATGATGGATGTTTGATTCATAACCGAAACACTGGGAAGGTGAAAGGGGAAGGGGTGCAGGTTGGGTTATCTGTTTGCATTGGAGTTCGAGAAGTCTCAAACAACAGCATCATCAACTTACTTCAGCTCCTTCACTTCTAGTTCCTTTCTGAATCATAGAAATAATGTTTGGGATTTATGGCATAAACATTTGGGTCATGTACATGTTGAGAAATTAATTTTTTTTTATTCAGGTCTTATTAAGAATAAAGTTCCTTTCTTGTAGACTTTTGATACATATTGTATTTCTTGTTGTTTAAGTAAGAGTTGTACTTTACCTTTTCCTCGCATGTTTGAGCATGCTACCTCTCCCTTTGAGCTTATTCATAGTGATGTCTAGACTACATCTATCACTTCTCAACTTGAATACAAATATTTTTTATTGTTCATTGATGATTGTAAAAGGTACATGTGGGCATACTTTATTTTCCACAAGTTAGAGGTATTCCCAACATTTAGGTTGTTCCATGTTATGGTACGGGTTCGGTTTCATCACAAGTGCATATTCATTGTTTAGATTCAAGGGGAGAATATACTGATGGAGACTTTTTATCCTATTTGAAGAATCATGGTATCAAGTGCAACAATGCTATCCAAATATTCCCCAATAGAACAATGTGGTTGAGCGCAAGAATAGACATATCCTTAGTATTGCAAGAGTCCCATACTTTCTTTTTGGGTAGAGGCAGCCAGTACAACTGTGTTTTTGATCAACTATATTCCTTCCTATGTTCTTGGTAATATGTCTTCCTTTCAGAAGTTGTTTGGTCATTGTCTAGATTTATCTATGCATCATGTTTTTGGATGTGTGCTTGGTTCGTCTTCCCGCTCGCAAACGTTCTAAATTGTCTACAGTGTGTCATTTGTGCTTTTATGGGTTGTAATCATGACCACAAAGGATTTCTTTGCTATGATCCCTCTATTCGTTGTATTCATATCTCATGTAATGTTGTTTTCCTTGAGCATATTGCCTTTTTTGTTGGAATTGCTAGATTTTCTATACCATCTGTTTCTGTTTTGCCAAACTTTGATTCGTAGGATGCTCCACCTCTTTTTACTAAGAAGGACCTTGTCGCCTTCTCTCACAAGCAATTACATGCTCTAGTCCCTGTGCCTGTCACTCCCCTTCCTCCTGATTCAGATCATCATCTCACCACTCTCCTGTAAGTGATACATCTATTTCAGATACTACTCTTACCTTTGTTCCCCTTTGTCGTTTTATTTGTATATCTAGACCTCCTGATCGCTATGATTTTCCTTTGAACCATTAGCTCTTTGTCTGTTGTCTTATGACTCTTATCTTCCACAGATATTCTTCACTCCTACCAAGAGGCTAGTCTGTCGTAGCTCTCATTGGAAGGAAGCCATGGATGCAGAGATTCATGCATTACATGAGAATGACACTGGGACCTTGTGCCTGCTCCTCCATATGCCTCTATTGTTGGGAGCCGTTGGGTTTACAACATTAAGCTAAAACCTGATGGATCTGTTGATCGATACAAGGCTCGTTTAGTTGCCTAGGGATATAGTCAGGAGTGTGGCATCGACTATGAAGTAACCTTTGCTCCTGTTGCAAAGATCACCATATAGTCCATGTTCTCTTAGCATTCTCCTTTGTCCAATCTTGGACCATTTGCTAGTTAGATGTGAAGAATGCCTTTCTTCATGATTAGTTGAAGGAGACATTCTACAAAAAGCCTCCTCCTGGATAATGCAATGGTTCTTCTTTAGTATGTCACCTCAAAAAAATCTCTAAATGGTCTAAAATAGGCTCCCCATGCATGGTTTGAATACTTTCAAGATGTAGTTGCTGCTAGATATAGCCAAAGTTCCTTTGATCACTCTCTCTATTAGGTGATGGACTCAAGGTATTACCATTCTTCTGTTGTATGTTGATGATGTGTTGTTGACTAGGAATAATGGTGAAGGTATCCGTGTATTGTAGATATAGCCAGAGTTCCTCTAATCACTCTCTTTATTAAGTGACGACATCAAGGTATTACCATTCTTCTATTGTATGTTGATGACGTGTCGTTGACTAGGAATGATGGTGAAGGTATCTGTGAATTGAAGTTGTTACTTCATAATTCCTTTCACATGAAGGATTTAGGCCCCCTCTCCTATTTCCTGGGTCTGGAAGTTCATCGTAGTGATCAAGGGTATTTTGTTTGTCAATAGAAGTATGCCTCTGACCTTGTTAAACTTACTGGTATTATTGATAACATGTTGATACACCTATGGCGCAGAATATTAAGTTACCCAAATCTAAAGGTCCATTGCTTCCCGATGCTACCTTGTATCGCTAACTTGTGGGATCTCTCGTTTATCTCACTATGGCTCGACCTGATATTTTTCATGCTGTTCAGGTTGTTAGTCAATTTGTTTCTACTATTCGTCAACCTCATATGATTGTTGTTTCGCATAATTCGGTATGTTAGGGGCACAACTTCTCAGGGGCTGTTCTTCTTCTCCTCCTCCCCTATTTGGTTGAAAGCATATGCTGATGCAAATTAGGCTGGTTGTCCTGACATTTGTAGGTCCACTTTTGGGTGGTGTTTCTTTATGGGTGATTCTCTCATCTCTTAGAAGCTTAAAAAACAACAGACAGTCTCCAAGTTTTCCACTGAAGCAGAGTATAGGGCAATGTCTTTTGTTTGCAGTGAAAAATTGTTTGGTTATAATCTCTCTTTATGGATCTTGGTATTCAGCTTCCTATTCCTATTCCTCTCTATGTAGACACTATGAGTGCCATCAAGATTGTATCTAACCGTCTTAAATGAGAGGACCAAGCACATCGAGGTGGATTGCTACTTTACTCGAAATCTTTTCATTGTTGGGTTTATATCACTTCCTCATGTAGCTTCGGACATGCAGATTGCTGATATCTTCATCAAGGCTATGATTAGAGTTCGACACCTCTTTCCTATAGGCAAACTAATGTTTATGTCTATACATCAATTTGAGGGGGAGTGTGGAGATTCTGTGACTTGATGTATCTTGTTAGTATAGTAAATGTTGTACATTACATGTATTCTTTATCCTCTTTTTGTCTTTCAGCCCTATTCATTCTTGTCATTGTACATATCTTTTAATATATAAGACTCTTTGAGGTGGGGGTCGACCATTCTGGACACCTAAGATTGTTCTTGTTCTCTTCTCTATTCGGCCAAGAGTGTTGACAAAGTGCATACCCTTAGAAAAGTATCAAGGGATGTGGTAAATAGATGAAGCCCCTCAAATTCAAAAATAGGAAGAAAACTAAAACCAAAAAGACAGTATGAAATACTTCTCCACACAGTAGGAATCTATCCGAACAATCTGTTCTCTGTGTATCTATGTGTGAACTGTTAATTTGAAATTATAAACTTGTAAGATTGCATCTAAGTTCTTTATACTGTTTCTCTCTTTCAGACTCAACAAGAAGGCTGCCTTCATTTCGATCATCACTTGAGGAAAGGGAGGCAGCTTATCTGGCTGCTCGTCAACGAATCTTTTCTATAGATGACAGTGAGGCCAAACAATCTGTTGGCAAAAAGCCACGGAACATCCCTGTGGTTGCTCGCCGGATGATTGCACATGCATTGGGTCAAAGAATTAACCTGTCCAATGAGGTCACTCTTCCAAACAATATAGAATATGAAGGGGAAAAGGAGAAATTGAACAGTAGAGAGAACAATGAAGTTTGTCATAGTTCAAGCTTGGAACTTTCTCGGGAAAGACTCGCATGCAGCCAGAAGTTGACATTGCAACCTAGTAACTCATGTGGTAAACCAACAGCAAGAAGCCTAGCAAGTGATGATGCATCGCAGACAGAAAAGATGCAGGAATCATCCCATAACAAATCCTCAAGTTTTGGTATGTTGCAGAATGGAAGCTATGGCAGAGATGTTTGCAGGGACAGTATGAAACAAGAGCATTTGGGAGCTGCAAGGAGAATGCTTGCTCATGCTTTGGGCCGAAACTCAGTCAAGGAGAACCCTGGTCTCGTGAAATGCAGTCAAACAAAACCTATTGACCATGAATAGATACTGAAAAGATGAGCTAAATAATCATTTCACTCGAGAGCAGCACTCGTGACTTTGTTGACCAGAGAAAGCACAAATAAGCATTTATATGATAAAGCGGTTGGTTGGTATGATACCTTCAGGGAACTAAGGTGGGAATCTGAAATCATGACTCGTGATATATGACAATTTCATAGCTTCCCAAAAACTTTTTATACATGCTTGTTCATGGGAAATACTAAAAAGGGTCGAATGTTGTAATTGGGCAAAGGAGAGCTAGCCAGGGATCTTATGGGAAACAGAGGTTTCAGTATGTTGCTGATCTGAAAAGAGTTTACGAGCTGAATCTGCATATTGTTTAGTTCTCAGCCAAGAGAAATTGATACTTGGGCTTCTGTGATATATTTGTCCAGCCGTGGGTTTGTTTTTGAATTTTGATACTATTTAGTCCAGTTTGTTTCTCATTGCAAGGGTGTTTATCCTTTCAAATTGGTGGTATGAGGAGAAAATTATCATCCCTCCTATACCGAGGGTAATCTAATCAAAATTTTAATTTTCCGACAAATATTCCACTGGACAGAAGGGGCGGGATACTCCCGTGATTATTCTTTCTTAGCCTGTTGATATAATTTGGAAAGCTAAAGACTAACTTTTGCGGTATTTAGTTGTTATTTGTTAACTTTAACTCCGGTATGTCAAATAGATTATTTATAACTAATAGCTAGTCAGGCTTTTTTTTTTTCTATTGATCAGTCACAGCCTCAAAGGTAGGCTCAGTTGCACGTTTAGGTGAATCAAATTCTTACCCAGAGAACAGAAAGACGCAATATTGTAGGATTCAAGTGATTCAGTCAACGTTGTAAGACATGGACGGTTCATTAAACTGCAAAGGCCACCAGACCAGGTTATAGATTTTATTTTGGAGATTTTACCGTTCAGTCCACCCACCCCTAGGTGGAGCTACTACTAGACTAGGGGTGGACTGAATCTTGCCCGTGGATTAATTGATGCCAAATTCACGGGCAGGATGTGATTTATAGGGGGGGCTACTAGTAGAGTAGGAGGGGGTTGCAAATTCAATTTCTGACGGGATTGCAATCAATTTGTTATTTTTTGTTACGAGGACATGGCAGGCCCAATGACAAAGGCACACATGTAATTCAGGATGGTCCTCAACTGGTTAGACAACATCACTTAGAGACTAGATGAGGTAGGGTGCCCGGCAAGAGGCCGCCCACAAGGTAGCTGCCCCGCTGGGAGCCTGGGGGCATCACAGTGGATGCTCTTCCCAAGCTCCATTGATCCAGCGCCCCATTGGACCTAACAGAGCCAACCCCTCAGCGTCCAACAGCAGCAGCCCGTCGAAGACCTCCAATCGACAAGGAGGAGATCCAGCCAGGTCCCACGACAACTGTCGGGGCCATGATCAACAATATCGAGTGGAAAGCCCCCGGGATGAAGGTGGGCGCTCTGGCAACTACAGTCCTCCTCCGAGGGCTGGAGGCCAACACCATGCCTCTCCCTCTCATGTATCAAATCTCTGTGAGAACTCCTCAACAAACAATGGGCCCGAAGGAATCAGGATGACACTGGAAGCTAACACCATGCCTCTCCCTTTCATGTTTCAAATCTCTGTGAGAACTCCTCAACAAACAATGGGCCTGAAGGAATCAGGATGTACTCGCATCAGAATACTTTGGGAATAGGGCTGACCCGTTCCACGTCCGAGAGGACCAGGACAAGGCTCAAGCTCCCATCGGCCAAATGATTGTCAACCTACAGGTGCAGATCGACACCATGCAAAACGAACTTCGGCAAGTTAAAGAGAGCCGAGGTGATGCCTCTACAAGCCAGAACCCTTCGCCTAGTAGAATGGACGCCTTCATCGACTCCACCACCTTGGAGCCCCTCTTGCCCCACTTTAAAGCCCCCACATTGGAGATGTACGATGGAACCACCGACCTAGACGACCACCTAAAAAGCTTCCGAGCATTCAAGCTCCTTTACAAATATTTTGACGCCTTGACATGTCGAGCTTTCCAAGAGACTTTCAAGGGGGCAGCCCGCCAATGGTTCTCTGGGCTCCCACCTCACTCCATCAGCTCATGGGAGAAGTTCCCTAATCTTTTCCTCTCCCACTTTGTCAGCAGTTGATGGTGCCAGAAAACCGTCGTCTCCCTCATGTCCATTCGATAGAAGCGTGGCAAGAGTCTGCGGTCCCCTCAGCTTCAGCTTTAGTGTAAACGTTTTGATTACGCTTAACTGCTAGGACCCCTCGGCCGTGCGACTAGCCGAAGCAAACAACCTTCACCAAGGTTATATGCTTGGACTGGACGACAACCAAGGCAAACGACTCTTAGTGAACCAAATGCCTACTTGCCCTCCTCGCTAAGGCATGAAAGCACAAGGACCTCAACTATGGCAACGGACAAAGATTTCGGTCTACCATGAACAAACACACTAGAATGAGCTAAGTACTTTGCTAAAATAGGAAGAATTCCGTGACCTTGGCCAAGCACGTCCCCACGACCTCAACTGACCGTAGGCTCACACCCCAAAATCCCCAAGAAAGGCTGAGCCTTGCGAGCTAAGGCACACGCCTCGCCCCGAACCCTCTACGACATAGCTTGGCCTCGACCTAGCTACCTTGACGGGGATAGAGAACAAGCTGAGAGAGCTAAGGCATTTGCCTCCCTTTCCTTCCTACTAAGGAAAGGGGCCTCGAACCCTAGGCAGTGTAGCTCGGCCTTGGCCTAGCAACCTTGATGGGGATGGAGAACAAGCCAGGAGAGCTAAGGCATTCGCCTCCCTTTCCTTCCCGCTAAGGAAAGGGGCCCCGAGCCCTTGATGGCATAGCTCGGCCTCGGATAGACTCCCTTAACTTGGTTTCCTACACAAACATCTAAGTAATAGGCCACTACCTTTTTTCACTATTTGTGACCTCTCGGAAGGAGGCATCGGCCCCTAGCAAAAAAAAAAAAAAAGAGAGAGAAGCAAAAAAAGGAACAAGTTAAGCAAAAAAGTGTTTCATTGATGTCATCTGTGTATCCTTACAAAAAATAGCCTCGGATGGGAGAGGTCGAGCCCCTTACAAAATTTGGACAAAAAGAAAAGAGAAGAAAGAGCAACTCAAGGCGATCCTTCATACTTCGGCTGCTTTGGTTGGCGTGGGCTGCTTTCCAACGGCCTAGTCCTCGGAAGGCTGCTCTCTGTTGATGGGCATGGGTCCCTCGGCCACTGGATCTAGTAGGAGCCCCAATTGGTTGATGTCAAACTCAGGCATCAAGGCCAACACTTGGGGCTTAGTGTCTTTAATGCCCTCAAGATACGAAGAGGCACCATAAGCAGCCAACTCCTTCTGATAATCTAGAGTCTTCTTCCACGCATCCACGACCTCCTTAGCCCTCTTCAACACAGCCTCGCACCACTTTTCGGCCGAGAGTCGCCTATCCTTGGAAGCATTCAACTTGTTCTCTGCCAACTTCAGTGTGTCCTTCAAGGACCACACCAACTCCTTCTCAGCAGAGACCTCAGCCTCTAGGACTTGCCTCAGATCACGCTCCTCTTGCATGGCCGAGACGATTGCCTATCGGCCACTCTTTGCTTCAGCAACCTAGACCTCGAGTTGCTCCCTCTTCTCCTCGGAGGCCTTCAGCTGAGATAAAAGAACCTCCACTTTATCACATAGGTCAACGGCATAGCAAGTCTCCTGCAACAGAAATACGATCGTCAGCAAAAGGAAAGAAAGAACAAGAAAATTTTCCTAAGTGACAAAGCAAGTACTACTTACCTCGGCCATACAATCCATAAGGGTGTCTCGGACACCCTGCACGCCCTTCTGGGTCATGGTGTTCCTATTGGCCGTCGGCACCATCCCAGTGAGTAGGGCCTAACCAACCCCCGAGGTGCTCAAGGAGTCTCCATCCTTGACGTTCCACTGGGGATGGAAGGTGCACCGCGTCATCAACAACATATCGCCCCTCAACTTGGACAAGTCACGGGGCCCTGAGTGGCAGGACCCTCAATGACCGCCTCGGCTGGGTGTCCCCTTGGCGTGCTTGCATCACCGACCTCGGCAGGGTGGTCCTTCGTTGCCAGCCTCTTGCCCCTCGGAGGCTGAAGGGTCTTAGTTGGTTTCTTGGTGGTGAGCTCCTGCCGCTGGTTCGCCTAGGCAAGTCATCTCCCCTTCTCAGCCTCAGCACCAATAGGCGCTTGCATGAGTCCTCTCGACACTTATTTCTTCGACAGGCCCTCACCCGAGGTTTTCTTCAGCGACTTAGCCGCCTCTAGTAGCAACTCCTTAGTGTTCGGTCGCATCTCTGCAAAAACACAACTAAAGTATCAGTATGTGGTTTGTGTTAGACAATGTGTGCCCTTAGCTCCAATAAGATTGATGTACATATACATTTATTGTAAATGAACAAAAGTACATTATTGTTTCATGTTAATATTGGTATGTTTTTGTGAATTTACCCCTTAAACTGGACACTTATGGGACTCGTGTTAGTTTAGAATGTTCTCAGCCGTTGGATAGACTTGGGAAGTTTATTTTCCCAAGGCCGACAATGATGTGTTGTCAAAGAAGTTGGGGTAGCTTGTCTTAGCTGCTAGGATTAGACCCAAAGCACATGTAGTGTGTATGTTTGGTTGAAACATTGAACCTGAACCATTTTCCACTTATGCCCTAGACCTTGGAGATTGATGGACAAAACTAGAAATTGCACATAACCCTTAGGCTTGATTATGGTACTGCATAAGTGTCGGATTATGCTATCTTTGATATACCAATCAGTGAGATTCATTGAGGGTCAAAACCTGGGTATGTTGGGGCAATCCGAGAATTCATCTAAGTGGGTGATCATAGTGATAGGATCGGCCCCTTTGTCGAAAAAAGTGAATGATAGGGTTTACAATCTCTCTGATGGAAACCTAAATTGTCGGTAGTGGATTTCAACTATTTTTGAGATTTGGTTTTGCAAAATATATATATGTTTTATGAAAAATGCAAAAGGTTTTAATTATTGGGATCCATTCGAGCAGAGAGTGTGACACTGCACCTTGTAGCCAAAGGAGAGGTCCTTCCCTATCAGATAGTGTTTAATCATTATGGGTCGAGAGGTTAAGTGTAAGAGACCATTAAGGGATGAATATCTGATGGGTTTTATCTTACTTAAGTCTATTATCCTTGGGTCTTCATAGGATGGCTGAATTCAAAGATCGTTTAAGTGTAAATGTTGGGCTCATTTTGAGCCCATAGTGATGTGCTCAGGGGTTCACTACGTTTAGCAGTGAATTCGGCCAGGCCTTTTCACAGAGGCTGGGTCGAATCCATGTGGGCTTACATGAGGTCATTGTGAGGTCCCATGCCATACAAATCAGGCCTAACTTGGACAAGCAACAACCTTGGGTCGTGAGCCTTATAATGAGGGAAA